TCTCTCTCTCTCTCTCTCTCTCAAAAATAAACATTTAAAAAATTGTTTTTAAAACAGTTTTTAATGTTTGTATAATACGTATGTATTCACTGGAGAAAACATAATTTATCCCGTAATAATTAGACAAACTTTCATTTTCACTGTTATAACTGGTAAACACCCTTGCATACTGTTATTTCCAGATGACTTTCTTAAGAGAGACTGCTTGATGTAGAATTACCAAAGAATATGAATATTTTAAGACTCATGGATGAGTGCTACCATACAGTTTTTCAATTAGTAGTCCCACTAATACAAATAACCTCCTCCCAAATTGCGTATCTTCTTAAATACCTGCCAATTTAATAGAATGGTATGTCCCTGTACTAATATGTAGTCCTTTTTCAGTTCAGAGGGAATCATTATCATATATTTAATCATAAGTATAATCTGGGGCCTGCCTTCCTGGGTTTGAATACCAGCCCTACACTCACTAGCTGTAAGTAGCAAGTCTTAGCAAGTTACTTAACCTTTGTCTCTCTGTTGTCTTACCAGTAAAATCAGGATAACAGTATTTACAGAGTTGATTAAATGAGTCAGTATGTATATACTTAGGAAGATGCCTGGCATATGGCAAAAAATATAAATGATATCACTATCATTACTAGTAATGACAGTACTATTTCTCCTTGAGTTGTTTGTTCAGATCTTTTGTGCATTTTTCTCGCATACAAATCTCTTTATTTCTTCGAATGAAACCAATGTGTACGTATGTGTGTGTTTAAAACAGAAAGCCTAACATCAATTTTTAAATAAAGGTCAAAGAAGTAAACTAAATAAAAAGACTTTAAGAGGCAGTTGAAATCAGAAAAGTTAAGTAAAAGACTAATTTTTCTTATAAGCACCTAAGCTCATGTTCTGTGCCCAAGGATCTGGGGGTTGGCGGGGGAGACAAAAGATACCAATAAATATAAATCCCTAATATGTACATTAACTGTATTTAAAAGGTTAGAAAATTAAGATATATCAGAGATTGAAACATCAGGTGAGTCAGTCCCCAAGAAATCTATGAACAGCAATTTATTCACTAGAATACTTTCACCTGTAACATCCGGCACGGTTCAGCAAACAAAATATTTGGCTTTGATTCAGGAGAATGATTTCCTAATCCCAGCACTTCCACTAACTTCCTATCAGTGCTTCTCTGGTCTCAGTGATAAAGGGAAGCCGCTGCCGCCTGCTCTATATTCTTTATGGAGTTGTTCTAGCAAGTGATATAACACAAATGCAAGTGATACAACAACAGAGCTACAAACTTAATCACTTCATAACTAATTCAACCAGAAAAACTGAAAAATGTCCCATTATCTTAAAACAATTTCGTTCATTACCTTAAAGCTAAAATTAAATATCATTATACCAGTCTTCACTGAAAAATCTAACAATGAAACACCATTTAAGCCTAACCGAGATAACTAAGTATAAAGTGAATGTGCAAAGGCTTAGCTTTAAATTTTGAATTAATTAATGTTTGATAAGAGGGAAGACAACTCAGGGGCACCTGGGCGGCTCAGTCAGTTAAGAGTCCAATTCTTGATTTTGGCTCAGATCATGATCTCACAGTTCATGGGTTCTAGCCCTGCTGTCAGCGCAGAGCCTGCTTGGGATTCTCTCTCTCAGCTTCTCTCTCCCTCTCTCTGCCCTTCCCCGACTCATGCACACATATGCTTTCTCTCAAAATAAATAAGGGGAGGGAAGAGGAGGGGAGGGGAGGGGAGGGGAGGGGAGAGGAGAGGAGAGAGGAGAGGAGAGAGGAGAGGAGAGAGGAGAGGAGAGAGGAGAGGAGGAGCGCCTGGGTGGCTCAGTCGGTTAATGATCCAACTTGGGCTCAGATTATGATCTCATGGTTTGTGGGTTCAAGCCCCTCCAGCGCTTGCACTCTCTCTGTCACTCAAAAATGAATAAACATTAAAAAAATTTAAAAAAAAAAAGGAAATACAACTCCGTAATACTGAAATACTGTCCAAAAAAAATCCTATCATGGATGTGTATTCAATTAGACAGCCTCATATACCATGATCATGTTTATAGTTAAAAATCAATTCCACACCAACTACTATTGACCCAATTTCTGACACAAGTACAGATTTCCA